ACACAGATCAGTCGCCTGTATATAGGCTTCTGCTTCAATCAAGGCCTCTTGAAGAGTCGCCACCCTTTTTCGAACTAAGTCAAATTTGAAGGTAGACCCATCTTTGAGACCTCTAAAAAAGTCAGTATAGGCTACCTCATCCGGTAACCCTTGAATCTGTATTCTCATCAGGTTGAACCGCCTGATGTAAGAACGAAGCCCCTCCTTTTCACCCTGCTGAATTGTTCCCAAATCAAGGGTCGTTTTCTTTGCAGGGATGTTCATGGCGAAGTTGGAGGCAAACAAGTAAGCAAGCGTCCTGAAGCTGTTTACACAACCAGTCGGCAGGTTGCCGAACCATTGCTGTGCAATTCCCTTGAGAGTCGCTGGGAAACACTTGCACCAGGTGGAATCATCCAACCCTTGAAGGTACATCAGGTTGGTGAATGCCATCAGATGGTCTTCTGGGTTAGTAGTGTCGTCATAGGCGCCTACTAGAACATTTTTTACTTTGGCCGGCTGAGCGGCTTCAGTAATTTCCTTGGAGAAGGCCGACGGCTGTTCACCAAGTCTAAGCAACCGTAGCTGCCAGTCCATAGGTTGGACGTTTTTTTGCTGCAGGTCCACCAAATGGAGGTGGCTGCATAAAATACTGTTGTTGCGGCACAAATGGTAAGTTTGGTACCGCCTGGGCACTATGAAAGCCGGACTGACGGGAGGTGCCTCCTGACTGACTCTCATGGTACGACTGAGTATGCCTCATCGAGGCATTTCGCAAACTGTCTTGAAAATTTGAAGTAGAAGTCGACTCTGATAATCGGTCAGTCTTCTTCTGCTCTAGCAGGAGCCGAGCATCTGTGAACGTTTGCTTTGACCCGTCCGCCTGAATATGACGAACCGGTTTCCTATTTCCCGTAGGATAACGGAATTTTGTGAAATCAAGAGCAGGTGTCTCCCGCTTCTTGGATTTAGGATGAGGAGTCGCCTCTCGTCCTTGAACTGACTTCCTCTTCAGTGAAGTGGAAGGTTTCTTGGCCGACTGCTCTTTGACTGAAGCAGGCGGTTTTTTGTTGATCAACTCTTGAATCTCTCCCTTGAAGTCCCTCATGAAGGTCATGAGTTCGTTCCTTGTGATGGGAGCAGACCCATCGGTCGGCTGTCGCCGAGCAGGCGGTGCGCCTGCTGGCTCGCTTCCTGTTTGAAGATGCTCCCGTTCCCCCCTTTCGGTATGACGGGTACGTCGGGCCCTTAGGGTCCCGTCTGGAGCTGTATGAGTTTCAACTTCAAATTCGCTTTCGGTATCATGGTCCGACTGAACTTGAGGGTCGTCTAGGGGACGCCTCTCTTCTGGAGTCGGTACAGACTTGGATGCCATCTCTGAAGTACTCTCCCCACAGACAGCGCCAAATGTTTCGGGGTTTTCTGATGTCCTGCGGGAGAGTTACAATTCCGAGACTGGAACCGGACGCCTGTACCTGCAAAATAACGGAGACTCCTGAGAGCTCCGCCTCCAAGGTCAAGTTAGTACCTGATTAAGGAGTAATTAATACGGAAATTAAAGTAATAAGGTCTCTCTAGGTGAGAGTGCTTAGTGTTGGTAATCTGCTTTGTTAGCGAGATCAGCCGGTTATTACTGCGTGTAATTAATGTATTTTTCCTGTAATCTCCGTGTTATTAGAGTTCTCTCTCTTTTTCTCTCTCTTCTTAATGAGGATTAAGAAGAGTATTTATAGTCTTGAGAAGCGTGCCCATCCTAGGTTTAAGGTAAACCTAGGGCTGATCGGGCCTCTAGACTGGATTGGGCCTTGATGGCCGGTTTTCCCATTTGGCATGGGTGGACACGTGGCGTGCCTCGATTGGTCCGCAGAGGACATATCTATGATTGACACGTGGCAGGCTCCTATTGGCCTACGTGAAGGACACGTGGCGGAACCTGGTTGGTCCACTTGTCAGACGGTGATTGGAGGATAAAAATCCCCTAATCAGGTTTTATGGGTGGCGGTTTCGAGGCTGGGGTTATGGCTATGGCTGGTTTAGGGGGTAGGGGGAGGAAGAGGGGGCCGGTTTTGCGGGGGTGAGGCGGTTTCGGGGGAGGTTTTGAGGCTCGGGTTAGGGACATGGTGGTTTGGTTGGCTGTGGAGGAATTGGCCACCGCCAGTGGTTGTGGGCTGGTGGTGGCTGGTTTTGATTTTTTTTTTTATTTATTTTTTCCTTAAATTTTATTTTTGTTTTTTTTGGAATACTTACGACTTGACACATGTCAAGTGACCTAGAATATTATGATTTTTTTTTATTTTATTATTTTAAAATATAATTTAATTAATTTTTAAACTAAAAAACCTTAGGTTAACCATTTTAATTATAAAAGTTAGCCATAAAACCAAAAAAAAGGACACTACACTTAATTTTGCAAAACCAGAGTGCCACTTGATAGAGTTGGAAAAAAGTTCGTCTTCCACGTAGAAAAATTGAAACTTGGAGGCCACCATGAAGAACTTCCCAATGTTTTTTGTGACTTAAAATTGTAAAACGGCTATAATTTGTAAACTGTAAATTATTTGAGAAAACAAAAAGCACCAAGGGTCATAAATTCTTTTTCTCTATAAAATGAGTATAATTTTTCCATATTTTCACACACTTTCATTTTTTGCATTTTTCCCCATTAATCTCATATTTGCGGAAAAAAATCTAATATCACTCAAACACAAATTTTTTTCTTCATTTCACTTCCAATTTCAAATACTCTTCAATATGGATCGTAATAATTCAAATTACGGGAATTATATGAATTTTCCAAATAATCCAAACTTTCAATATAATCAAAATAATCCTCCTTTTGATCCAAATTTATTGAGTAATCCTCAGTTTTAAGCTGCTTTACAATGGTATAGTAGTCAATCAAGACCAATAAATGTCAATAATATTCCACAATGTCAACCTTCTTTCCCTTTTCCTCAAAGTAGCTCGTCATCTCAATAGTCTTTTGGTAATATGCCGAGTTTTCCCATTTATGAACATTTCACTCAAAACATGGATCAATCACCGAGAGGTTTTGGTGGTAGCAATGCAACTCCAATAGAGGGGAATGGTGATGAACATGTGGAACAATTAGTGGGGGCGCAACATCTAGAAGACATTGACGATGTTGACGTCGAAATTGCTCCCGAACAAAATGTCAACACCACCGAGCAAAGGAAAAACCAATCATGGAGCATAGCTGAAGACAAAGCACTTGTATTGGCCTACATAAATGCAGGAAGTGACGTAGTGAGAGGAACTAAGACAAAGAAAAGTGGGCTATGGGTTGAAATCTATAACCATTATGAAAGTTCAAGAATAGAAAACCCCGATGAAATAAAGGTAAGGAACATTAAATCTATGCAAAATCGATGGGATTTTATCAATTATACATTGTGGTAAATGCGTAGATGCATATGGGTATCATTATCAAACCAAGGGTAGTGGTGAGTCCGAGCAAAATTTGGAGAAATTTGCTCTCAAAGATTATTACGCAACTAACAACAAAATGTTTTGTTTTTTGCATTGTTTTGAAACTTTGAGAAAATATCCAAAATGGGATCCTTCATTGGCCAAAGATCAATTGAATATGTTACCTGGTGGCCAACAAACGCCAACCGAAAGTAGGGGAAGCGGTAAAAGATCACAACCTGATTCACCATCCGAGGTTAGAGGAAGAGCTAAAAGACCTGGTGGCATAAAACAAACAAAGATGAAAGGTAAAACATCTACTACTTCATCTTCAAATATAAATCTTGAATCACTAGATACAAATTTTAACGAAGTTGGTGATAAGTTGAATGATTTGGGTGGGCGACTTCTGGATCAGTTGAAGGAAAGAGATGAACTAAAACAAGCACAATCTGAAGAAAATAAAAGGCAAAAGGACGAGGCTATGAAGTGTAGAATGTTAGAAAGGTTAATGCAAAAGCCCGTTCTTGATGAAGTTGAATTAGAAATGTATAAGAAACTTAGAGATGAATTCAGTAGTAGATTTTCGATTTGATTTAATTTACCTGATTACCGGGTTATCATTATTTCTTATTATTGTTAGTATTGTTATTATTATTGTATGTTTTATTATTATTGTTAGTATTGTTATCGTCATTGTAACTAGAATTATTGTCAATGTACCATTTTAATATGATTGTAATTTCTATGTATTACTATGACGTTTATTTGTACTAAATTTAGTTAAAGTCTGTTGATGTTATTTTATATTATTGTGATATTTTATATGATTGCTCCCAATAACATTACATCTAACCAAAATCCTATCTTCTAACATCCCTTGTTTTATGACCACATATCCTTATCAGAAATCTTATCTTCTGACTAACCTTATCTTATTTTTGTCTAGATAATTTATAAGATTGCTCCCAATAAAATTTCATCTAACCAAAATCCTATCTTCTGACATCCCTTGTTTTATGACCACATATCCTTATCAGAAATCTTATCTTTTGACTAACCTTATCTTATTTTTATCTATAAAATTCATAAGATTACTCCCAATAACATTACATCTATTAATATCAACCTTCTATTTCCCTTAGGCAAAAAAAAAAAAAAAAAAAAAAAAAAACCAACAACCTTCTATCTCAAATGTTGTTTGGTAATAAACATAATATGAATTTCGATTCAAACTCTTCAAGTTCTTCTACTTCGTCTTCAAGTTCAACAGATGAAATCTATGATCAAATGGTCATGATTTTATCAACGAGAGTCATCGATTACAAGTAATGCAGAATGCAGTACTTGTAGCTGTAAACAATTCAGTACAGCAAAATGAACAAAAACGTCAAATCAAACGAAGGATAACTGTGTCGAGAAATCTTGAAGCAGCTCACGACAATTTAGTTGCAGATTACTTTAGTGACCAACCGGTATACGATGAAACTGCGTTTTGAAGGAGGTTTCGTATGCGAAGACCCCTTTTCCTTCGCATTGTCAACACATTAAGTGCAACTAACTGTTACTTCCAACAACACCCAGATGCTACCATGCGTCTTGGTGCTTCACCCATTCAGAAATTCACAGTAGCCATACGTATGTTAGCTTATGGTTGTTCAGCTGATCAAGTAGATGAATATCTGAAGCTCGGTGAAAGCACTGCTAGAGAATGTCTTGGACAATTTGTCGAAGGAGTAATTGCTCAATTTGCAACTGAGTACCTTCGCAAGCCAACATTGGAACATATACAACGCCTCCTTAGAGAAGGGAAGGACAGAGGCTTCCCTTGCATGTTGGGCAGTATTAATTGCATGCATTGGGTATGCATCAAGGAAGATCTAAAACAGCGATTGTTATTTTAGAAGCGATTGCTTCCAAGGATTAATGGATTTGGCACGCCTTCTTTAGGACGCCTGGATCATGCAACGACATTAATGTACTTCAATGTTCTCCGGTGTTTGATGATATAATAAATAATCGTGCTCCACAAGTTTTGTTCATAGTTAACGGAAATAATTACAACAAAGGATATTATCTCATAGATGGGATTTATCCAAAATGGTCGACATTTATAGATGCTATTGCGGCCCCACACACCTTAAAGGATAAATTGTTCACTGAACGTCAAGAGAGTGCTAGAAAGGATGTTGAGCGTGCATTTGGTGTGTTACAAGCTCAGTTTGCAATGATTAGGAAGCCTGCTTTGGCATGGAGTGTGGAGTTGATGTGGAAAATCATGATGACTTGCATCATCATCCGCAACATGATAGTTGAAGACGAGCGTGATATATATTTAAACTTTAAAGATCCACTTGAATTCGCCCAAGAATAGTCTGAAAATATGCGAGGGTCGTCCTCAACTAGAAATGCAACAACATTTACCGTAACTCCCGGGCATTATGATCCTGATAATTTCAGTAGATTGATAGCTTCAAGAGGGGAGATTCGCGATAGACAAGTTCATGTGGCATTAAAGAACGACTTGGTTGGCCATTTATGGGCAAGGTCTAGGAGCTCGGTTGAAAATTAGCATTTTAATAATTTTAAATTATGTATGTTATTTTCGTTGCTTATTTTCATCCGTATATTTCATATTTGTAATTCATGTGTTTTAATTCATGTATTTCATATTTTACTATTTTTTTAAATTAATGTGTTAATGTGAAAAAGTATTAGTTGACGTATTTTATGTTCAATTAATAATAATAATAATAATAATAATAATAATATTTGACAAACTTTAATAATAATTAAGTGTATTAATAGGAGAGAGAATATATGGTGGGGTATATGTAAATAGGAGAGAGAAAATGGGAAAGGATACTCATTGATGTTGGAAATATTTAAGAAAGAAAATGAGACCACTTCCAATGGTGAGCAAAAAAATGCTTGCCCACTATCTCTCTACCCACTTTCTCTCTCAACAAATCAGTTTTGCCCATGGGCAAACTTTTTTCACAATTTCTCTCCCAATGGTGAGCAAAAAAATGCTTGCCCACCACACTCTCTCTCTCTTACTCTTTCAATACCCCACCATTACTTTCTCTCTCCTACACAACACTTCTTTATTTATTAATTTCATTTATATTTTGACAATATTACTCCAAATAAATAAAAACTAGTCTAAATTTGTGTAACTTTTTTTTTTAATTTGTGTCGTTTTTATCGTTAAATTAAAGAATATAGAGGATTTATGGTATTTCTGAAATTATACCAAAATATACCAAAATGCATGTCTATTTATAGAGAATTAAATTTTATGACCGTTGGTAATTTTAATTTTTTTTTTTAATAAATATTTATTTCAGAATTTGCATTACAAAAAATATAACCATTGCAAATTGTGGGGCCCACCAGAGCACTATTCACTTGCAAATTTTCCCAAGTCTTGGACATTTTAAGAAATGCTCATGGGCATATTTTTGCATTTTTTCATTTGATCACCATTGTAATGCATGAGCATATTTTTTGCCCACCCAAAATGCCCATGAGCATATTTTTTTATCACCATTGGGAGTGCTCTGAGTAAAAGGATGGAGATAGTGAAAAGTGATGTGGAAGGAAGAGAGTGTGATGTGTCAAGTGGAGGAAAGGAGAGAGAAAATGGGAAAGGATTTTAGCATCCTTACCAATATTTATGCTCTTAGAATGTAGCTCTTTACGTCAAAATCCAAACTTACTTGCTTTAGTTCTTGTTCATATACTTTATTATTATTTTTTATTTGGCACAAATTTCAGTGCCTATTATTTTAATTGATAGTTTCACACTACTTTCACAATATGTCACATCAATGTATTTCATTGCATAGTGCCCAATATCTCTTTAGACTTGTAAATACTAGAGTATTGTAGTACGAGATACAAGTATTAGTGTTTTTTTTGTTTAAAAGTATTTGTTATTATCTTTATCAAATTGTTTATTTTTTCATAGTTAAAAAAAATGAATTATGTATATTATGCAAGTATTGATTTTACTTTTTTAAATTTGGGATAGTTAATAGTTTCTTTTTTTATCAATAAATACATTGCTTTAACTATTATTAATAATTTTTTAAATAATTATTAACAAAAGTTAAAGTTAGTAAAGTTATTAATTTATTATTAATACTTGTTGTCTATCTCTATATAAAGTTTAGATATTGGTTTTTAATTTGGCCCCTCATAAGAAAGTTGTGAGATCTGCCACTAGTCTCTATGCATCTTGGGGGAATGAATTTGAATTAAACAAAGAAAAATGATGGTTAACGTAGTGTTTAAAATGACATTTTCTCACTTTTTTGATCATAATTTGAGTTATACATATTGAATCGAGGTGATTCAAATTGGGTTGAAAACTAGACTTGAATAGCTTTCCAATGATAGGTCACATGACCCTATACAATCTTTAGATCAAAAGTTATAGCCTCTGCAAATCTTCCTTGCGAACTAGTGGACGAGCAGCACCCGCAGCTCGATACAACCAGCCACGAGAAAGCTACTGGTCTGGCTGCTGGATACCCAGCGGGTGGTGGTTTGGGCGTGGACAGCTGCTCGTGATGGGCCTCATCTTCCCACCTTCGCAAGCTTCGTCGACTACGATTCCACAAGTCGCCTTAGTCCCAATCATAATATGACTTATGTAATTGCTATTATTCTGATTTTATTTTATTTATTTATTTATCTTTTGATTAGTTTTAGGATAATATAAATACTCCAAGGGATTTTATTTTTCCCTTATACCGTTTATGTATGTTATTATTTGATGTTCTTGTAGATTCTCTTGAACCCTAGTTTCTCATGGCATCTCCATGGATTTTTCCATGGATGATTCTTGGGTTTATTATTTTAATTCATTAAGGTATTTTATCTATTTCTTTTAATTATGCTTTTTTTATTAGATCTATGTTTAATTATTTATTTCATGCTTGAGTAGTTTATTTCTAGGGTTTGGGAATCCATGTTTATATGATGAATCTTGATTGATAATTTTGATATTTTGATTATTGATATCTCTAATTGATAGTGTTTTTATTGTTAATCTTGCAACTTGATCAATTGTTGGATTAGTTCATGTTAATAAGAGTTTGAATCAAAAGATTCTTACTTTTAGAGGCTTACCTACAATTAGCAATTCTGATTATGTTAGCGACCGTACTGCATATGTTGAATTGAGAGTGTTAAGACCCGGTCGTAGGCTTAGAAATTGCTCTAGTTAATTGATTGATTGAATTGTTATTGATATTTGACAGATTTAGAATTATAAACATGGTGAACCATAACCCTAGGTCTTTTTTTTTAATTGTTTTATTCCTATTTTAATTTAGACTACTTTTCTATCCTAACTAGTGACATGTTTTATCTTCTCCATACCTTAAAAGCTAGATTAAATAGCCATTCCTCTGTGGATTCGACCCCACTTTCCCTACTACATTGTTAGTTAGTTTTGTTAGGAAATTATTTTTTATAGGTGTACGACAACCTATCACTGTGATACCGAAAAACTCGAAGTTTATACCGGTGTTGCCGAGGGAATACCGCGAGACTCCTATAGGGGGGGCATTTGGGGGAGGTCAAAACCAATCTAGTTTATACCGGTGTTGTTGAGGGAATACCATGAGACTCCTACAAGGGGGCATTTGGGGGAGGTTAAAACCTATCTTAAGATAGCAAGGGATGGTTTTGGAGAAATATGAGAAGAAATTAGATGTGAGTGAGATGGTGAGAAACTTCTTTGTTTGCCAGAGGTGCAAACAATGTCAACTGAACCCGGCTGGTCTTTTACAACCCTTACCAATACTTGACCAAATTTGGGAATAAATTACCATGGATTTCATAAAGGGACTCCCAAGGTCCAAAGGAATTGACATAATTATGGTCGTAGTGCATGGATCGGTCATCCAGATATGCACATTTCATAAGTTTGAAACACCCTTTTTTTTGCTCATATTGCGGCTGGAAAATTTATGAAGGAGATTGTCATATTACATGGGTTTCCCTCTTCTATCATATCGGATAGAGACCATATGTTTTTAAGCCATTTTGGAAGGAGTTATTTTGACTCCAAGGGACGGAATTGAAGAGAAGTACATCCTACCATCCACATATGGATGGGCAAACTGAGAACGTGAACAAAGTTCTCGAGACTTATCTGAGATGCTTCTCCAATGAGAAACCTAAAGCTTGGGCAAGATGGCTTTCGTGGGCCGAGTTTTCCTACAATACTGCCTGCCATATGTCCACTGGTATGACTCCCTTTCGAGTTGTTTATGGAAGAGATCCGCCGCCTCTGATTAAGGGGAGCGCAAGCCAAACTGCTGTCAATGACCTTGAAGAGTGGCTCAAAGAGCGAGATGTGATGTTGGATGAGCTGAAGGTGGGGTTGTTGCGTGCTCAGCAAAAAATGAAAATGTATGCTGACAAGAATAGGAGAGATGAGAGCTTTGAAGTGAGAGATTTGGTCTATTTAAAGCTTTAACCGTACAGGCACCAATCCCTGAAAAGAAGGCCTTTTGAGAAGCTTTTAGCGCGTTTCTTTGGGCCATACATAATCAAGCGCAAGATTGGGAAGGTAGCTTATGAGCTAAAACTCCCAAGTGACTGTCAACGTCTTCCACGTTTCACAATTAAGGAGTGCCATAGGAAGCAACACTGTTACTACTTCTATTCCACACCAACTCTCAGCTGAACTCGAAATAGAAGTGGAACCTGAGGAGTTGTTGTAAGTAAGACCGAAGCAGAAGGGAGATCCTAGGTAGACTGAAGTCCTCAGTAAGTGGAAGGGCTTACCACCTTTTGAAGCTACTTGGGAGGATGCGACTCTGATTGCAAATCAATTTCCCTTGTTCCATCACCTTGAGGACAAGGTGCGACTCTTAGGGGGAGGAGGTGCATGGACCATGGAACGCAGCCTTTCAAGTTCACTTACCCTAGGAGGAGAGGCCCAAATAACAAAACAACTAGCCCATGAGAATGAGAAGGATGCACAAGCTCAAAATGACAACAAGCACAAGGAGAGGTGACAATCAAGCCAGCGAATTATGCTTTAATCAGGTCAACTTGAGCAAGATAATTTTTGGGTAATGCCCATTTGGGTTGGTTTCAAGATCTAGCTAGGTTGGATCTATATGGAAATGCAGATACGTACGTTTAAAAGAAGCGTCTTGAAAACCGTGAAAAATAAAATGTGGCGAAGAATAGTGATTAGGGAGTAGCCTCGAGCTATCAATGATAGTGTAATAAGGTTATGTTCGTTTGTGTTGAGGTATGATTCATGTCATACCAAAGTCTTAATTATTAATTATCATTCAAGGAATATGAAAGTATGGAAAGAATTACGGGGAGTATGGAAAGAAT